TTCTTGCACCCTGAGTTAGGAGTCAGTAACAGATTTTGTAGCAATTGAAAGAATCACATACTGTCACAGACAGGTCTCGTCTCGTCGCACTTGATCAAGGATTAGTGAGGGAGTATTAAACAGGGCAATGTTCGGGATTGTACCTTCACTCTCCTGCTGCGGCAGGTAAAGCAACCACTGCGAGTTCGACGATGTTTGACAGCGGAAGAGTCCATGCTATTGGGGGGTGCTGCTCCACGACGACCACCGAGAAGACTTGCCTGCCTGTCGTAAAGTTGCTCAGTGGTGGTGGGATTGTACCAGAAGGCAACACCGTCGAAATGAGTTGGTGGTCCGGACAGCCGGGGGTATGCTGTGTTGAAAGCGCCATCGTAGATCGGATAGGTTGTGTCCAGTATATTAGGGATTGGCATACTCATGCCGTGGTCGTAGGGGCCGCTCATGCCTCGATGCGCAGTCGCACAATTCCAAATGGCTGACTGTGACACAGGACAAAAGGTATTTCGCCAACAGATAGAAACAAATACTTGTTGTCGTCCTCGTGCACTTTCTCACAGAATGCCGTGCCCCTGGATAAACCTGCTGGTCACCAATACTTCTGAGAGAGCCAACCACTACTTTGTGGTACGGAGAATCGCTTGCTGAGACCGAAGGCTCCTTGTTGGACGACCGAGGAATGACGATACCGGCAATCGTTTCTGTCGAGCTCGGTGTAACAACGATTGATATTCCATACGCTTGTCTCAGTCCAACTACCAGCGCTTGCCGTCCAAATCCACCAGATCTCTAGCGATCAACAGCCGGCGGGAAGGCTTCAGGCGCAGAGTAAAAGGCGTGGGAGACGGGAGACTTCAGTTCAGGCCACAAATTGACAATGATTTAGGGTTGGTTTGGTGGGAAAAATTGCAAAGGCGTGATGTGACATCTAAGTGCCGTATCAGATAGGCCAGTCGGACCGAAGGAAAATCCAGGCAGGTCTCGTTGAGTCTCGCCGCAAGATATTATCGCGCTGGGACAACTGCCTCAATTCTGTGGGTTGTGATTTGAGCAGAGTAGAATGAGGCAAATTTGGCCTGCCAGGTAAGTTTTCAGAGTTCGCAAATGCCAACCAAAGCCGGCTATGACGCCGGGACCAACGATAATCAGATGATCAATCAGGCCGTTGAAGCATTTCTCTGAATGAGGGGAAATGATGTGATATGGATTTACATCCGGGCTTGAAATGGGAAGGGAAGTGCGCGGTACAAAATGAAAATGAAGCTGTATCTAGCCACGGGCACAGATTGCTATTGTACCACCCAGCTTGGTGTTGTCCAGAAATGAAGAGGTCAAGACTCGAAGGTTCGAAGTTGGAAGGGGACCCCTCCTGGCTCTGTTAGGCCCCATGCCCAAAAAGTAGCGAATGATTGCAAAAGCGCTATACCGCGACGGTGGATGTCGGGCAGGGGACAGGGGTCCTGCTGCTTGCTCTAAGCACACTTTCAGGTGGTGGGCAAGTACTGTAGTAGTGTCGTCAGACGTGAACTCAGACCCAGGACTTGACTGGGGTTGTCTGAGGGCGATCCCGAGCGTCGATCAATGGGTGGCCCACGGGGCGTCCAGAATCGACCATAAGCTCCAGGGCCCTGGACTTAGGGGCCCTAAAAAGAGTCCACACGCCATGCACTCGAAGGCTGGTGTGAACGGCGGAATCGGAAATTTCTGGGATTCGGCACAAACCACCCAAGCCTCCAGAGAGTGTAAGAGAGCCGCAGCGCAGAAGATCGGGGTGATCTGGGAGGCACAGCACGGCATCATTCGAAGAGCGTTCACCTAGTGGCAGGGCATAGTTTGTCGAACCTAGGATCTGATCTGAGAACAACGCGAACCCTAGGAGCAGGTAAGCGTACGAGTACTCGGTAGACATCTAACAGTATCGATATCCAGGGGTTGCTGGCATCCGATACAGATTATCTGGTCGTACCGGTAGTAACTTTTTGCCCAAACTTCGTGCTAGGAGACCAGGTTTGAGGGAACCTGGCTCTGACAAACCAGGCGAGTGAGATATCTCATGGGTCGGAACTCGAATCATAGCGGCAGAGGTAAATTGGCCTGCACCGAATTCGGCCTGTTCATGCTGCCCGGCGGAAATATCGGTGCCACGGTGAGCGTTTGCCTCGTACGGGGTACATGACCCATCAGTTTCCTTGTCTGGGATAATGGACCACAACCAGGGGCGCGATCATGTCGACCGAGAGCGTGAACCCCCCACAAAAGTCTCTAGAGGCATCTGGCCCCAAGAGCTCTTCTACTCGTCCTGATCTTGGTTGTGACCTAGAATATAACAACGATCATGAACCAGGGTATGTAACACCATCAACCGTGCTTTTGGTGTAAGTCGTTGTTACTGTATACGTGCTCGCGCAGAACACAGATTTCTGGTATCTGTTCAACTCAGGGGGTTGATTCAGCGGGCAAACAGGCTCAACGGCGTTGGACTTTGGCACATTGCTCAGGAAGCCCCCCAGCGGCCAAAGCTAAAGCCACGTTTTTTCGGTCCGTAGTAGCTGGCACGGTTGGCTGTTGGACAACTGCTCCGAAGGACATGGTCCATGGACTGGTTTGCATCAGTGGCGCCGCTCTGGCACCTTTTCTCAGGGTCATGGAAACGGTAATTGATATGGAGTTGGCCGCCATGTTGGCCCTGGGATAAACTAGCCTAAATTTGTGTCGTTGGTCTGGGCCTCAGGAGGAGGCTGCCATGAAGCAGAATTAGAAGCAGCATGGGCCAGAGTCATCTGGATGGGGACCTTTGGTCGATCTCCTGATCTGAATGGGGTCCTGCTGTACTGAACAGCGCCCATACCATTGTAATTTTCGACCTTCTGAACCATTGTTGGCCGGCAATTTCCAATCCGGTTCCCCAAGCACGGTCCCATGCCTACTTGGTTTGTTTTGCTCCCAAATTTTGTATCCAAGAATGGCACGAGGGAATTCCGATGAGATTGCGGCTTGTGGGACGCTCTTGCACCTTTGCAAGCCTGTCCCAAACACGAGGATGGGTCGGGTCGATAGTGATAGGGCTTGAGCTGCACCACCGTTTTTCTTGGGGGGGGGGGCCGGGGAGCGAGCGATGAGAGCACCGCGAAAAAGCTCATGTTTGCTCCTCTTCGCTCCACCTAATAGCGGATTGATTCGCTCTGGTTTAGACCGAGTCAAAAGGTGTCCGGACACGAGCGAAGCCAACATACTAGTACCCGAAACGGCTTTTTAGTGTCGATAGGCGTGTCAAACTGGTCGGGGATGAAGCTGTTCACATCCAATAGTGGGTGCAGTCATGGCCTAGCATGGTTTTTGGGGATGCACAGCTTTTCCCTCTGGTCTCTATTCACCCTGGTTGCAGATCCTGCTGTCACTCCAGTTCAGAAAGCCCACTTTTTTTTTTACTGCTTTGCAAGCTTTGGCGTCGAGGCACCAGCGGGTGGGAGCTCCATGTCGGCTGTCCAATAAAATCCCTTGGTGACAAAGCCGGCGTGGCTCGCAGAGGGATGGATTCTCGTCATCTCAACCGGCTGTCCCGAAACACCGTGTGTACGAGTACTCCGTATTTTGCCCCAAATCAAGTCCATTGGTGGTTGACAGGCGTGGCCAACAAGTAACACGGCGGCTTGGCCTTTTGAGAGCGCCACTGGTAGTGTTCTTTTGCATCTTTTGGCGTCCAATGTCACATTGCACCAAGCCATTCCGTTTTGTTTGCCCACATAGAGGAGGAGGCTACCGTGGAGGAAAGGGTGGCAAGGCGATTCGGACGGCTTGAGGAGGAACCCAAAACTGACTCGCTGGCAAGTTCCGGACCAAATTCAATATCATTGATCATCCTGATCTCGATGAGACGCTTATCAGTCCTAGTTCCTGAAAAAGCTCTAATTCTTGCTGAGACCTTGTGTTTCGGCGGAAGATGGACGTGGGAAAATCAATGACGATGGCCCAGGCTGGTCAGGGATGGTATCCGGAGGGTGGAGAGGAGGGAACAGGGGATCGCAGGTTTGAGTCGGAGGCTGAGGACTCGCAGTGTTCGGTCTGTATCGTACCTGGTAGTGGGTATTATGGGTGAACGACCTTGTTTCGTCGGAAGCTGGTGGATTCGATTCCTAACAATGCAGAGAAGTGAGGAACTCGATTGTGGGATTGCAACGAAGCCACTAGTTTTGTGGTCATTTCCTGCGCACCTGTTTCCACCTTTTCCATGTGCCTGGTGCCTGGCTATTTCCCCCCCAAGGGGACAAAGGTCAACTCGTGCAACGCTCGTGTCCAAGTCTGATGAAGTCGCTGTCTTCGAGTTGCACAAGTCGCCCCCACAGATATTTAGCACAAGTCAATTCCCATTCCGGAGGCGCGGCAAGGCTCGTATCGAATCCTCGCTTGTTGCTCCAATGCAAAGCCCCGTGTTTCAAAGTCCCTGGCCTAGTTGCGGATCATTGACAGAACACATCTGAAGGAAGATGACTAGTAATTTGATCAAGAGGACAACGACAAGATAGGGAACCAAACCAGGGCACTAAGTGACAAGGTGCTCTGTAGATGATATCTGTAAAAACGTAAGACTCATACTCATTCCCCATGCGTCACAAAAGACCGCGAGTTCTGATTAGGAGCCAGCCCTTCTGTGTGATCCTTACATACACGTCCTGATTGAGATTCATCCCCAAGCTTCCCAGCTCTCTGACCAACACCCAAAGCCCTGGCTATGTAGCAACGCAAAACAAATTTCGTGTCTGATCAGAGCGTTCCAGATCCATGAAAACAACTTCCTTCCGGCGATATAGAAGCCAACCAGTTCCCAGTCCCCAGTATTCCCAGTCTGTAAAGACTGCACGCTCCAGTCCAGTCGCCGTCTCTTCGCCATTGTTACCCAAAGTGCGCCACAACTGATAGCTTCTTTCAAGAAAACGCTCCAAGAAAATTCGTAAAGTACGTGAGCTTCTGCGCAAAGATCTCAGATGCTCTCTTCGACCATTCTGTCATGTGGTGGTGGTCGAGGAAGGGGTGCCAGAATTCGTAGAGGAATTAGAGGATGGACCCTTCTCCTGCACACCCTGACCACGGCACATGGGACAGCTGTTCCGACCAGTTGTGAGCCACTGCAATGGTGTCAGTAAATTTCTATACATATGATCTGAGGAGCGGTGACTCACTTCATCGATGCATTCGCGGTGGTAGACATGCTTGCATCTATCCAAGCGGCGGACCTCTTCCGACGCAGCATAGTCTGACAAGCAAATGAGACATCGTTCCCCTAAGTTTATTACAAGCGAGGAACCATCGCCGTCAGAGTCGGGTTCCCCGAGGAAGCCCGAGTCTTGGACAACCAGCCGAAAGACTCCGCCAGCGGCGCTCACATCTTCTTGGGTTGCAACAGGCGGCTTGACAGGTCCCAGGAGGGTTGACAACATCTGCATGTCCTCATAGGATGGGTTATCGGTAAACAAGCTCGGCATAGCAAAAGCAGGATGTGTCGCCGAAACGTTGGTGCCCACGACATAAATCAGCCAACTTCGCCCAACACCTGCTGGCGGAGGATCTGGTTCTACCATCCCATTGCGCCTTGCTGCACCCGATCCCAGCTCGGGCCGGCGGGCGAACTCAGAGTCGCTTCGTCGTCGTTGTCGAGCGGTATTAAACGAAGTTTCTGGGGCACGATCGTCGATGTGATCATGTGGACGATCCTCGTCAAGTTCGGAGAGTGTCTGATTAGGTGCAGCCGAGGCTGAGGAAGGTCGCCGAATTGGAGTGGCATGTCCACTCCTGATGTCTGCTGGGGTCGAAGGAGGAGGTATGGGACCGGGAGGAGTTTCTGAGAGCAAGGTAGGGGAGGCGCCCGCGTCAGGTGTAGTGGGCACAGTCTGATCTGAATGGCTCGACAGGCGGCTGGTCTGTGTCCTGGTGCGGTGATGTCTCTGGGTCTCGTACTGCGCGGGAAAGCTGAAGTTGGTCATCGAGTGTCGCCGTGTGCTTGATCTATTTCTGCCATCCGATCGGCGGAACAAAGCGCCAGAGCTTCCATTTCGTAGAACATTGGCTGGAGGCAAGAATGGAAGGCTCAATAGGGTGTCAAGACTAGGGCCCAGCGTGCCATTCTCGCCGCCAGTGTTGTCCTGGCCGTGCGGGAGCGATCGGACCCCAACGAGGACCAAGGTAACCGACCGATCGCTTTCACCAGGTCCAGCGATAGAATCCAAGTCCATATGGTCAACATCGCGTGATTCTGCTTGGGATGCTATGGGCGACCCGTTTTCGTCATTTGGAAATTGGAATACTCTCATAAAGTTCACCGGTGGCAGGTCACCGCCCGGTGCGTTCACATCGATGTTTTCCCCGGCTTGGGCGGTCGCCGCCTCCTGTAGCGTTTGTACAAAGTTCTGAATGCTTCCATCAAATGTGTCACCACCAAGGTTACGCGGACCAGTAGAACCGGCTGTGGCGTGGCCGGAAAGCTGAGCCGCGATGGCTGCGGCAGCAAGTTGGAGTACCTGTGAGAGAGGCGGATGTTCCCCTCTTCGTATCAGTCTTGTTGATCGTGAACGCAGGCCCGGCTGAAAGCGTCTAATGGTACTCATCCCCGACGTGACTCGGGGTCCGGCCAGGAGGGTCCGAGCCTCAGGCTCAACAGCGTCTAACTCATGAGGAGCATCATCATTTTCATGGCGATGGTCAGCGGAAGGCATGGAAGGAAGGAGATGATCGGATTCATCGGCGAACGTCACCCTCGCCGGCCTCAAAGGAGACTCTCGACCTCCCTGGCTAGACTGAAGCTGCTCGGTGGACTGGCGAAATAGGCTCGAAATCCGTTGAGAGATGGACATAGAATCCCGAACTCTGCTGAACCTGCTTCGGTGTCGTAGACCAGAGGCTGCAGGCTGGGGAAGCTCTCGTATATCTTCGTCCAGAGATTCCGACCACGAATTGCTAGACCCACGCGGTTGGCTCATGCTCTGTAGGGCAGGAAAGGGTCCTCGGATTGCTCGTCGTCTAGATCCAGTCCTATTCTCGCTCCGTCGTCTTATAGAACCAGTGAGGGACACACGACTGTTCGAGTCTGAGTTTGGTGGTCGTTCGTAGACGGAAGGGCGTAATCGCCCCGAAATCCCATGGCGCAACGCCCGACCTTCTTCTGCGGTCTCTTCTCCACTATGTAGCAGACCTCTTGCAACGGCATCCGGAAGCAGTCTTGAGCCCAATCTTGACATTGTTGACCTTCTCCTGCTCGAGGATGGCGATAGTATAGGTGTCGCGATGGCCTCTGTGTCTGTCATGTCCACATCCTCCAAACCTACCAGCGGTCTGTTCTCTTGTTCGTATTCGGTCTCGGAAGGAGGGGATGACGAATGGCCGGCATTCGGACGAGATGTGACCGATTCAACAGATCGATGTCGTCGAAAACTGTCGTAAAGAGTGCTAGCCCTCTGACCAGCCATTCTCAACGACTGGGTATTCCGTCTCGCCAGTCGAGAACTCCTGCCCTCGGTGCCAGGATCGCCAGTTGTTGTTTCCGCACCATCCGGAGTGTTCCTTATTTCCTCCATCAGTCCAGCCTCCGCCTGGGCACGAGGAGTCGACGTGGTGTTCCCCATATGTGGAGGCCAGTTGATTTTCGGCCTGCGCAACAGGGACAAACTAGTTATGGTGTCATATTCAAACAGCGGTGGTTCTGCGGGACTTCGTCGTCGATCTTGAGCCGACTTAACTGACTGTGTTGTGTTTACGGCGTGGAACGAGAGATTCAAGGCAGAGGGTTTGATCGGTGGCCAAGGTTGCGTTCGCTGTCAGCAGCTGGACCGACACATCAAGACGCTCGGAATCGGGCTCTGTTCGATGACTGGTGAGGACGTGGGGATGCTGGTGGAGGGAATGGACTTTGTGGCCAGTGGAAGAGAGAGCGAGATGTCTAGGATAGTTCACAGGACGATGGCTTGGTTGAGCCTGGTAGAGTCGAGGTTGGAAGTGGTGTGGTGTGGGTTGGACCAAGGAAAGGCTGAAGCGCTGGGCAGCGAGCAAGGCAAAAGTCGCCCCAAGAGACGAAGGGACCAAAGCACGGACTTTGTTTGGTCACCCTGCACTTTTGACCTCTCAGGACCCGATCAAACAACAAATGCCCCGGCCCAATAACAACATCAGTGACTCCTCATGTAATTATTCTACATGCCTTTGTCCAGATCCATGCTTGTCTTCTGTTATCCTGGATTGTATCACTCTCTATATAACTCCGTCTCTTCACTATTGTGATCCCGTCGAGCATCTGCACAAGTCTTGACATGGATTACATCACAGCTGCAGCACGCGGAACTCGGTGCGACGCTATTTCTAGGGAAGCCTATTGATCACGCGGATTTGGGCGCCATCCTGAAGAGCACGCGGCTATACACCTGGATGCCTTCATTTTTAGGTGTTCACCCAGCGGCTCTACCTCTCTGAACAATACCACAGGCAATCATGCCGCACATTTTTGTACCACCTGTCGCAACGCGACGAGCCCGTCCTACAACATGGGAACTAGCTTCAGGAAAAAACAAGCGCAAGAGAATGACAATTCAGGAAAATGATGCTATACAGGGCGAAGAACAAGACAACCAGGCAATCTATAATGTGGACAGTCAACTTGAGACCTCTGTTAACCTTGACTATACCGCTGTTGTATCTCCAGTCGAGCGACTCCAACGTCGTGTTGCTGGGCAGCCATTGGATCAACCTCCACCACCTTTCCCATTTCCGCACGCTGAGGTGCCTTCAACGAATAGTCAGGAGGCACGAGGAGAAGTGGACAAAGAGAAGGAAAGCGCACAACTGTCAAAGGTATCAGACAGCTCACGGTCTTTGCACCTTCAGCACCTCGCTGCCCTGACCACAATAGTCCACCGTTCGCTCCTCAAGGAAGATTTTCCTCGTGCTGCTCGTGCGCTAGGCTTGATCTTCCGTGAGGATATCGTCAGCAAACATGCCGCAGTCCGTACTCAAGGCTATATGGGCATTGTGGCTGAAGTGCTTCTTCGTAATGGCGCACCCAAGGGACGGGTTCCTACCCAGAGGTTCTCGGCGCTTCCGTTCACGCACGAGGGTTTCGAGAAGGCTAAGCGCTTTTACGAGCGACTTATCGTTAGACATCCTTACCACAAGTCATGGCCTGAGGCCGTCAATGCTGTTGACTATTACCTCGCCATGTTCAACCTCTGGATCTACGTGGTCCAAAATCAGTACGCAACCGAGCATGAGGTTGACGAAAGTGATATGGAGTCTGTCACGTCCTCTCCTCGGGCTAGCAAGTCCAACAGTCAATCACACAAGAAGGTGAGGGAGCTTGAACAGGCTGATCAAATTGCATCCAGGATGGACACTTGCATGGCCACCGTTCCGTACATGGATGAACCTGAACTCATCAGACTTCGTGCAATGGTCGCCCTTTGGATAGCCGACCTTCACGAAGATTGTGCCTACCTCGCAAGGCTTGATGGTCTGGATGCTGTCGATATGCCCTTGGATCAGTCTCACTCAGCGCCATCTCTCATTACAGACCAGCCTTCCGACCAGGACGAGCACAGCCGCGAGGCTGCCCGAGCACGTGACAAGGCGCAAGACCTCCTGTCGAGATTGGAAAGTGAAACGAGAAACGATGGTGGATGACCTGCATTGCGCTGGGCCGGGGCCAGGACCTGGCGATCCCCACCATCACCAAAGACCACCAATTTGCAGGACAGAAATGGGATCTCGTGGCCATGCAGCCGATGAATATCGAATAACAAAGAGTTGTCGATTTAATTGTACAACACGTGCACCGGATTCTTGCCTTTCGTTCGAGATGATGCTGCCCAAGCTTGTTTCTCCCTACTCGCCCGCGATAGGATTATCGAGCGTCCACGCGCCAAGTTCTCGACGTTGATTCGTCCCCCTGAATAGCTATCAGAGAGCTTCTCACCACATGTCCTGTGAACTTTTTCCGACAAAGTTCATCCCACCGAATTTCGATGGCTTCACCTGCAGCCCCAGCTCTGGGTAATCTGGCTGCCAGTGTCCCCCTAATCGGACTGTTCTCGAGGCTCTACGGCGGTTGTCCTCGCCATTCAGTGCGCCATATGGCTGTTTCCAGTGATCCGATTTGTGGAATTCGCTCCCCGTGGTTTATTCGTTGCCCAGAGTCACCCTGTGTCTTGCGGTCAAGACATAAACACCCGACAATATGAGAAGACGCTCACGAGCACCCTCAGCATTTCTTCTTCTTCTTTTCTCCCTTGGATCTGCAGGTGTCGTTGTTGTGTAGGTTTAATCAGCAGCAATGGCACAATTCAACTACGCAGCAGAATGGCAGCGCCTCAAGGATTTCCACTTCGAACTTGGCTTGATCGGTGCCGGTTTCTTCGTCCTCGTGACCATCCTGGGTATTGTGTTGTATAGACTTGGCGGACGAGTGTCGCTCGACAAAGTCGCTGCCCATCCCTATCTCAAATTCGTCTATGCCTGTATGCTCAAACCCCACGACAGACGAGCCGACATTGGCCAGCAAGGGGCTCTTGAGAGTTTCTATTCTGCTCAGGTAGGAGGGTAGACAAATTTACTACTCTTTTTTCCTTGGCGCTCATGTTCTCCTTCAGGCAAATGTCTATGACTCTACCCGAAAACGCCTGTTGCGAGGGAGAGAGGATATGCTTGCGATTTTGGTGGCAAAGTTGCAGGGTAAAATGGCTTCCGGAGAAGGACGCAAGCCTGTATGGTATGACATTGGGGGCGGCACTGGGTACAATATTGAAGTCATGGACAAATTGGTGGGTGTCGATGGCTTCTTCGAACATGTGTTCCTCGTCGATCTCTCTACTTCATTATGTGAGGTCGCCCGAGAACGAGTCCGTAAGAACGGCTGGAAGAATGTCACCGTCTTGTGCCAGGATGCGAGGTCGGTCGCGTGCGCTCCATCCTCGGCGGATCTGATCACCATGAGCTACAGTTTGTCCATGATCCCGGATTTCTACGGCGTGGTCGACATGGTCGCAGGGTTTCTGTCCCCCAGAGGCTTGATTGGCATTTGTGACTTTTACGTCCAAAGCATTGTCGATATCTCGTCAAGAAACTACTGTGGTGGGACCTTCAACCGCCATGTGAACTGGTTCGGACGCATGTTCTGGCGCACGTGGTTCGATGCCGATCGAGTCAACCTTGATGGTGGTCGAAGGGACTACGTCGAGTATCGCTTTGGCACTGTCTTGTCAACAAGCCAGCGAAACTATCCTCTCGGCGGGTGAGTCCTTGTGTATCCCCTTCTATCACAGACAAAGTGACGGGCTCCTGCGAGGCTTTTTCTGCTTCTCTTTACCCATGAGGCTTCAGTAACTAACCGTGTTTCGTCACAGCATCCCATACTATATCTTCGTTGGATGCAGACGAGATGCCGAAGCTTTTGCTGAACAGGGGCAGGAAGTCTTGGAAAGACTCGATGCGGCTCTTACAGAATCACCATATCTGTCCCCCATGAAATTCAAGGAGCAGCGGAGCTTGGACGCACAACAAAGCATTCCGCGGTCAAAGTCGTATGAGTCGGCTATTGTCAACTTGAGCAATGACCTGCCTCTTCCTTCAGCGTTTTACCAGCAGCACCATTGGAGAATCTATTACAATGACCTTTTGCAAAAACATCAACAATTCGGCAACGAGTATATCTATGCCTTCAACTGGGAAGATCCCAAGGTCGACCATCAGCTCTTGAAGATCAATCAGGACGACGTTATCCTCACCATCACCAGCGCTGGGGACAACATTCTTGACTATCTGCTTGAACGACCCAAGCGGATTCACGCAGTCGATCTGAACCCGAACCAAAACCACCTCCTCGAGCTCAAAGTTGCCGCCTTCACCGCCCTGCCTTATAATGACGTGTGGCAACTCTTCGGCGAGGGCAAGCACCCAGACTTCCGCAATCTCCTGCTCTCCAAACTCAGTCCTCATATGTCCAGCCAAGCGTTCCAGTACTGGCTCAGCAAATCCTATATCTTCTCCTCCAAGGGGGGTCTGTACGAGAGTGGGGGCTCCAGACACGCCATTAAGCTCATCCGGTGGCTGTTCAAGACGTTTGGTCTCACTGCAAAAGTGCGCACGATATGTAAGGTGGAGACGCTAAACGAGCAGCGCGAGATGTGGCCTCAGATCAGGAATCTCCTGCTCAGCTGGCCCCTACATAAGACGGTGGTGTCTACAGAGTGGTGGGCATGGAAAGCGGCCGGGGTTCCCCCCAACCAGCACGCCCTCATCGTTGACGACTACGCGCAGCGGACAGGGCTGCCGCGGACGAAGAAGCTCTGCGGTGAAGCTATCTGGCAATACGTTGTCGACACGTTGGATCCTGTAGTGGAAACAACGCAGATCAGTAGGGAGAACTATTTCTATTACCTCTGCCTACAGGGGAAGTTCTCAAGAAAGTAAGCAAGCATTCCACTCTTGGACCTTTTTTTTTCCAGCCATCTAATGAAGCAACGAAACAGGTGCCATCCACGCTACCTCGGAGTCAAGGCGCACGCAACGCTGTCAAAGCCCGATGCATTTGATGGTCTTCGCATCCACACGGATGAAATTATGGAGGTGATTGCTAGGATCA